AGCAGTGCCTTGGCTGCAATCTGGACTCAGGCACTCATTCTCTGCTCTGCCTTTTCCTGCCTACCCCACACCTTCTTCTGTCTTCTTCTCCTCAGCTGGAGAACTGGTGGGTTGGAAGTGAAGGGTGAGAATCACCTGTGTTTTCTGTGCTCAGAAGAAATGCTCCTGAGACAATGCACTTACTCAGATGTCCAAGAACTGAAATAAAAGAAATATATATATATATATATATAAATCTGTCTTTTATTAGCATGGGAGATTCTCTTCAGAGACTTCTGGGTTCCCCTTCCACAGTATACAAAGCCCTCCTAGCCATTAGTACCTCCATGTTCAAGGGCCACAGAGGGGAAGACAAAAGGAGACTTGCAAATCCTGCCATGGGACAGGACCATGTACAAGATACCTGCCAGGATGGGGTGTGCTCACCTAAACAGCAGAAATTTAAGTATCATGAGGATTTTCTAGATCAAAACTTGTGCTTCTAAAGAGAATAAGTGACCCAGAACTTGTCAGGCTTGCATCCATCTCAGGGGCACAGCACTATGAAACCTTACCTCTGAGGCCAGCCCAAGGGTGAGGCAGTGTTGTGCCGGGACTAGGAAATGTGGGATTTTCCACATCTTGCTCTGTGCCTCAGTTTCCCCACCTAAAAAAATTGGATAGGAAAGCCTTTTGTTTTTCTTAAAAAATTTAAATCCTATTAATAATCTCTAGAGAAGAGAAGTTCATGTAGAAACTTCTGAACGCACTGTTAGACACAGGTAAGGCCACACAGACTGCAATCACCAGCAACATGTGGGAGGGTGGTGCAGGGACTAGATTTAGAAAGACGTGGGAATTCTGCTGCTGCACGGAACTCCTCACTCAGCCTTGGCTGTTTATAGTCTTTCCATTCAAAAGCATGAAGTTGTGCCTGCAGAAATGTGTGGACAAACCTCTGAAAAAGAAGCTTGTTAGCCCTTAGTATCATCACAAGTAGATACTAGGATGGAATAGATGTATCTTATAAGCAACACATTGTCGCACAGCTGATCCCAGGAGAAGCACCTCTAAAACTGTGTGCCTGAGGTTTCCGGTATTACATAAAACTCCTTATGTCCTGAATTATTAAAGAAACACGTTGCAAAGAAAAGCTTCCCAAAGTTTGGCAAAAGCAAGGCACTATGGGGTTTAATTAGCCTCAGGCATTCAAATGCATTGCACTACACAAATATTTCAGCCTAACAAAAAGTATTGAAAAAAGATAAATACAGCAGCAATTTTTTATTAATGCATTAAATTGGTTAAGCATTGCTCAGTAGTAAAATATTCTGTTATTCTGAACCTATAGAGCTCTGCACCTTCTTCTCTCTTTTGGTGTAAGTGTGGGCTCTAAAAGCATCCTTAAATTTTGTCATAGTAGCCTTCCTCTCTCCGTGTTGCCATCATGGAGGTTTTTCAGGCTGTAAGAGAGACCTCCATGTTAAAGGGCTATGGCATCTCAGCAACAGTCCTGTCACCTCAGGCCTGCAGGGCTACATCATCATCCTTAAGGGTAGATCGTTATCATGAGGCATAGTCAACTTAACACCCGCCTAGACAACAGGAATCAACAGTGCCAGATTGCCTTCTTCAGGGAGCAGGCAATTGCAGATAGCTGAAGGTTTCAAAGAAAAATGCTCTTGTTTGAGATTTTTCTGTTTCAAAAGACCTTATGCACTTTGTGTGTACTCTCAAAACCTAATGGAAAATTAAGTGTCAGACCCAAGGAATTTTCATTTTCACTCTATGAACTGGAACAAGTGGAAGTAAGCTTAAAAACAGAAAGCAAAATCTGTTTCTGGACTTAATCTCTCTGCTCCTCACCCACAGCTGTTTATCTACTATTTAGTATTTCAAAACCAAAATAAAACCCCAACAAGGCAATTGATAGCACAGTCTCCTTCAAGTAACTGCATGAGAATTAATGACTATGAAAGAAGAAACAACTGAAAGCCCAAAAAAAAGCCCCAGGTTTCCCCATTTCCAAAAATAAAATAAAACTGCTATTTGCAATTAAGTTTTTAGTTTAGAATGTTGTCATCAAAATATGTGTAGGAAACTTGCCCATGCAGTCCAAGGGAAACATTTTCAAAGGTAAAGCAATTCCTATATGGTACATCTGATAAAAAGGACAAGAGAAAACAAAGGCTGCAGTTCTTTTCTATACCTACTCTTTACTATTGTGCTTCTGTCTGTGGCCAAATATCCCTCTGTTGACATTTAAGTCAACAAGAGAGAACACAAAAGGCCTGGAGAAGAAATAAGGAAGGCAGTGAAGTGTTCATCATGCAAAATTAGGAAGTCATTGGCAATGAAAGACACTGCACTGATTGAGCATTGGGACTAGGTAACAGCCTTTCTGGGATATAAAGAAAGAGTCCAGCGAAGAGCTACAAAGATGATGAAGGGAGTGGAACATCTCCCTTATGAGGAAAGGCTGAGGGAGCTGGGTCTCTTTAGCTTGGAGAAAAGGAGACTGAAGGGTGACCTCATCAATGTTCACAAATATGTAAAGGGTGAGTGTCAGGAAGATGGAGTTAGGCTTTTCTCAGTGATGACCAGTGATAGGACAAGGGGTAATGGGTGCAAATTGGAGCATAGGAGGTTCAAGGTGAATATCAGAATTTTTTTTTTTTACTGTGAGAGTGACAGAGCACTGGAACAGGCTGCCCAGAGAGGTTGTGGAGTCTCCTTCACTGGAGACATTCAAAACCTGCCTGGACACGTTCCTGTGTGATGTACTCTGGGTGATCCTGCTCTGGCAGGGGGGTTGGACTAGATGATCTTTCAAGGTCCCTTCCAACCCCTAGGATTCTATGATATAACGCAATTCAAAAAATAAAGATCAAATGAAGCCCTGAAACTTTCATCTGGTATGAAAAATCAGATGTTACTGCTGGCAACAGCTGCAGTTTGTTGTTTGGTCTGGAACAGGCAAAAAGCCCCGAGCAGTAACAGTCTTCTCAGCAACCGCCTGCTGACTTCCAGCAAACACATATCCACTCCATCTCAGCTGCAGCTTGTTTTTATCAACAAAACCCATTTGACCTCAGCCTGAGGTACAGCAGGCTGCCCAACCCTCTGCATGGGATGTGG